ACTCTGTCACCCAGGCTGGAGTGCAGTGGTGCTATTTCGGCTCACTGCAACCTCTGCCTTCCAGGTTCAAGCCATTCTCCTGTCTCAGCCTCCCAAGTTGCTGGGACTTCAGGTGCATGCTGCAATGCCCAGCTAATTTTTTTTTTTTTAAAGACGGGGTTTCACCATGTTGGTCAAGCTGGTCTTGAACTCCTGACCTCAGGTGATCCGCCCACCTTGGCCTCCAAAGTGCTTGGATTACAGGCGTGAGGCACCACACCCGGCCACCCAGCTAATTTTTTAATATTTTTTGTAGAGATGGGGTTTCAACATATTGGTCAGGCTGGTCTCAAACTCCTGACCTCAGGTGATCTACCCGCCTCAGCCTCCTGAAGTGCTGGGATTATAGGCGTGAGCCACCGCGCCCAGCCTTAAAGTTAGTTTTTTGTAGCAGGCATGAACCACCACGCCGGGCCTGAAAGTTAGTTTTTTGTAGCAGGCATGAGCCACCATGGCCAGCCGTAAAGTTAGCTTTTTGTAACAGGAATTTAACTGTCAGACAGTTAGTATAGGTGTGTTGCATCATCTGTTTTTCAATCAGATTGTGTTTATGAACTTTTCACACACTCATTTTGAGGACTCCAGGTTCAAAAGTAAAAGCAGTGGCCCTGCTTTTGAGGTCCAAGAACAGGAGTGTTGGGTGAGGGGACCTAAGCTGGCCTTCTGCTCCAGACATGGGATGTGGATCCTTGAGGTTTCTTGTGAAGTCGGCACGTCTGTGTTTTTATATCTGTTCCCTACCCCTGTAATGCATATCGCATGCATTTGTTCTGTGGTTTTAGTCTCTTGTTTAATTACACACAAGCAATACTACTGGGTAACCAGAACCAGGTGCAAATGTGTTGAGATTTCTACTGTTTTACATGATAGGAAAATTGAGAAAGAATACATGTAAAAGATATGGAAGCTTAACATCAATGCAGTGTTGAAAGTTGACCCCCAAGGGCTGACATGGTGTGTGTGAGTGTGGGTGTGTGATAAGCTTCTCATCCCTGCATAGGTGTAGTATTCTTGGGCTTAGTAGAAAAACTTGGTTTAGTGGTTTAAGCCTTGTGTGACAGATAGATCTTAAAGGACAAAGCTGTATATTGGTAGTTGTCAGTATAGCATTACTAGCTCTGTTTATACAAATAGAGAAATGGGGTTAGCCATAGAGGTTAAAACTGCTGGGTTATCCCACATATTAACTCAAACTGGGTCTTGGATACACAGTTGTATTTAATGTTTTACCATCTAGTCTTTCCAGTACAGGCACTTTCTGAAAAACCTTTGTCTGCATTTGGGGCATGTTGTTGTTGGGTTTCACCATGTTGGCCAGGCTGGTCTTGAACTCCTGACTTCAGGTGATCCACCCACCTCGGCCTCCCAAAGTGCTGAGATTCCAGGCGTGAGCCACCGCGCCCAGCCTGNTTTTTCTCTTCTTCTCTTCTATATGTGTGTATATATATATATACTATATATATTTTATATATATTATATATATATCATATATATATAGTATATATTATATATATATCATATATATATAGTATATATAATATATATATATAAAGACGGGGTTTCACCATGTTGGTCAGGCTGGGCTTGAACTCGCGACCTCAGGTGATACGCCCGCCTTGGCCTCCAAAGTGCTTGGATTACAGGTGTGAGCCACCACGCCCAGCCAACACTTTGATTTTAACCCAATAAGACCTGTACCAGACTTCTAACCTTCAGAATTGTTAAGATAATAAATTTCTGTTGTTCTAAGCCATTCTGTTTGTGGTAATTTGTTACAGCAGCCTGGTGCTTTGATTTTAACCCAGTAAGACCTGTACCAGACTTCTAACCTCTGGAATTGTTAAGATAATAAAATTGTGTTGTTCTAAGCCATTCATTCAGTTTGTGGCAATTTGTTACAGCAGCAATAAACAACCAATACACATACTTTAAATGGAGACCAATCTTTAATTTTCCATGCTTTTATAATAATTATAATGACAAGTTAATCAGTAAATGCAAATCAGAAAAATTTTTTTTAATATCTTGGAACTTAATATCTGGTTCAGAAAAGCATCCATGTTCTACCAAAGACATAAGCTTAAAATATTGTCACTCCATGGGGGTACAAATTGATGCAACTTTTTGGAAAGTACTTTGGCAGTAGCTAGCAAAACTTTATTTATTTATTTATTTGAGACAGTCTCACTCTGTTGCCAGGCCCCAGGCTGGAGTGCAGTGGCGCAATCTCAGCTCACTGCAACCTCCGCCTACCGGGTTCAAGCAATTCTCCTTCCTCAGCCTCCCAAGTAGCTGGGACTACAGGCACGCGCCGCCATGCCCTGCTAATTTTTGTATTTTTTAGTAGAGATGGGGTTTCACCATGTTGTCCAGGATGGTCTCCATCTCCTGACCTCGTGATCCGCCCGCCTCTGCCTCCCAAAGTGCTGGGATTACAGGCGTGAGCCACCGTACCCGGTGCTAACAAAACTTTAAATGTGAATACTCTGACTCAACAAGGTACTTCTAAGAACTATTGATTTTCTTTCATAAATTGACAATAATGTAAAGACAAGAATATTTATGAGATTGTTGTTTGTGATTAAAAACTGCAAATAACTTACATGCTTACCAAAAGGGACTGTTGTAAAGAAATATTATCCGTTGTATACTATTTCTTTACAATAGTATACAATGGCATTTTATTTAGAATTAGCTCCATCTATAAGTACTAACATGTCCATAATACATAAGTGAAATAAGCAAGTGGCAGGCAGTGTATATAGAATAATTTCATTCTTGTAAAAAGAAAAGTTTGTATATATGTGTTTATATAACACAAAAACATTCTAAACAAAGGTATAGTAAATAGGAACAAGTTCACTCACTTTTTACTGTCTGTGTGTCAATGGTAGTTATGGCTATTAATACTTTTTTTTTTTAGACTGAGTCTTACTCTGTCACCCAGGCTGGAGTGCAGTGGTGTGACCTCGACTCACTGCACCCTTCACCTCCTAGATTCAAGTGATTCTCATACCTCAGCCTCCCAAGTAGCTGGGATTACAGGCACATGCCACCATGCCCGACTAATTTTTGTATTTTTAGGAGAGCCTTCCAAAGTGCTGGGATTACAGGTGTGAACCACCATGCCAAGCCATTATGATTACTAATATTTTTGCAGTTGGAATATATCAGCTTCAGCATAAAATGAAAACCTGAAGAAATAAATAAGTGTTTTGTAATAACCCTTAGATAATTTGATACTCTACTTGTGATTAGCGATTTGGCATATCTCTAATTCCTAATTGGATTACTAAATGTATGAGTGACTCTGAAAAAAAGCAAGAAATGGCTTGTAATTCACGGCAGTACAAACCAAATAAGGAACAAACAAGCGGAACAGCCCACAAGGCCAGTAGGGTTCAGAGGATGAAAAGAGTATTATGGGCTCTCAAAGGTGCCATCAGAGTCATTGGTGGTGCCCATGAATTAGGACATGGAACAACTTCACTTTGACTAGACATGGGGACCACTTGGGGGTTATGCAATGGGTATATGAATGCACCTCACAGATTTGTAATGACAAGGAGCATAATTGAACAAGGGCCCCCAATGCTATTGGTCTGAAATCCATTGCCATGTTTGCACTAAAGCTACACCTCCCATGAGCTACTCCCAGCCAATGACAGCAAGGATACTAAGACACACTTTCCTCAGATACACAGGACTCCTCTGTGAGCTGGCTTTGGCTCAAGGCCTACCCCTAGTCCTTGCTGAAACTTTCTTAGACTGCATGGTAGTCTAGGATGTTTCCAAGACTTGACATTCTCTCTCTCTTTCACTTTGGGTTAATCTTGCGTCACTGACAAATTGCCCAGCCTCTATCTGGCTCTTTCTCCATTTTCTATAACAGCCTTTATCTGGTTCCCTCTTTATCTGGCGTGTCCTGTAATAAAATAGTACCTACCTTATGAGGTAGGTACTATTATCACTTTATAAATGAGGACATTGAGGCTACAGTTCTGGAGGACAGGCATCCAAAATGGGTATCAGTAGACTAAAATCAGGATGTTGGCAGGACTGGTTCCTTCTGATGGCTCCATTCCCTTGCCCTTTCCAGCTTCTGGAGGCCGCCTGCAAAACCAGCAATCACATCACTCTGACCTTGGCTTTTGTCATCATGTCTCCTTTTCTGACTCTGATCTTGTAAGAATCCCTTGTGATTGTAACACACCCACCCAGATGATTCAGAAAAATCTCCCATCTCAAGATCCTTAACTTAATCACATCTGCAAAGTCCCTTTTGCCGCGTAAAGTAACAAACGTATTCGCAGGTTCTGGAAACTAAGATGTGGAAGTCTTGGCAAGGGGTGGGTCAGGGAACACCTTTATTGTGTTTGAGTCTTCTCTATCTTTACTAACTTTCTATCGACTTGTTTCATTAGTTACTGAGAAGAGTATTGAAATGTAAGGGGTTTTCTGTTACTCTTTTTAGTTCTGGTTTTATTTCATGTATTTAAAATTTCTGTTATTGAGCACACATATAGGATTGATATTTCTTCCTGATTAATTTACCCCTTCA